CCCACAGCGAGAACCAACCAAAGGAGTGCGCCGGCCGCAGAAAGGAAGCAAAAAGGCCGGACGAGCGGGCCGTGACAGAGCTTCAGCGCTGAAAACTGTGCCCTGCAGGTGCTTGAGCGCTTTTCCAGGCCGCGCTCGTTTGCCCACAGCGAAACGAGGCCACTCAAACGCGACGTTAGGCACCCGGCCGCGGCGGAGCAGGCTGCCGGCGCACTCCTTTGGTTCGTGCTCGCTGCGGCGAAGCGAGTGCGGCCTCCAAGCGCGCTGGACGCGAAGCTGTTCTTGCTGCTTGCGCCCTGGGGACCGATAGCTTTCTACCTTCTGTATAGGATTCTACAGTGACGTTCGGCACCCGGCCGCGGTGGAAACAGCCGCCCTTGGCAAGACGCACAGCAAACCCAAAGGAAAGAAGAGCAGGGATCGGCAGACTGTCCCAGACGCAGGCGCGCATGGGCATGGACAGGCCGGGGATTGAGCCCGCCCTCTCACATGCTGGGTGTGATGCCGCTACACCAACTACCCCTGAGCTGAGAAGGCCGAGAGTGCTCAAACCCCTGCTGGCCGCAGATTTCAGCGCTGAAGCTCTGTCACGGCCTGTCTTTGCACTCCTTTGGTTGGTGCTCGCTGTGGGGGGCAAACGAGTGCGGCCTAAAACAGCGCTCGAACACCTGCAGGGCACAGTTTTCAGCGCTGAAGCTCTCTCGCGGCCCGCCCGTACGGCCTTTTTGTTTTTTCTTTTTCTCCTTTTCTGCGCACTCCTTTGGTTGCTTTCCTTTTCCTTTCTGCTGCCGGCGCACTCCTTTCGTTGGCGCTCGCTGTGGACAAACGAGTGCGGCCTGGAAAAGCGCGGGAAGCGAAGCTTTTGTGGCTGGCCGCTCCCTCTGCACCGATAGCTTTGCTGCATGTTGGACTCAAATGCGACGTTAGGCACTCGGCCGCGGCGGAGCAGGCTGCCGGCGCACTCCTTTGGTTCGTGCTCGCTGCAGCGAAGCGAGTGCGGCCTCCAAGCGCGCTGGACGCGAAGCTGTTCTTGCTGGTTGCGCCCTGGGGACCGATTGCTGTCTACTTTCCATATAGCGCTCCTTTGGTTGGTGCTCGCTGTGTGGGCAAGCGAGCGCGGCCTGGAAAAGCGCTGAAAACAAGCAAACAATCAAGCGAGCGAGCAAGCCAGCAAGCCAGCAAGCCAGCAAGCCTGAACCAGCCAAAAGCCGCTGCCAGAACAAAAAAAAACCTGGGCTGGCCCCCAGCGGAGGGGTCGGCGGCACTGGGCGGCAGCCCTTAAATAATAATAGTAATAATAATAATAGTAATAATAATAACAATAGTAAGAATAATAGTAATAATAATAAGAATCGTAGTACTACTACTACTACTAATAATAATAATAATAATAATAATAATATAATAATAATAATAAACAATGATAATAATAATAACCATAATAATAATCAACATCATAATAATACTAAAACATAATAATAATAAACAATAACAATATCACTAATAATACTAATAATAAAAATACTATACATAATAGTACATATATTATTTTATAATGTGTATGTATATTATATGGAATATGTGGGTACGTACCCTTGCAAGCGTGTTGGTCAGAAAAGCTTGGGTTTGTTGTGGATCACTTAAGTTATTTTCCCAAAGAGCTTGCAGAAAAAGACCAGAAGCTGACACTGGTGTACTCTAAGCTGCCGAAAGAGTAACAAGTCCAGGTCCAAAAGGCATCGGTATGTGTGAGGTCCACCTGAAACCTCACATGTCCGTACAAAATGGGTTATAGCCCCAGCATTCTGGGGTGAAATCCACTTGTGAAGGGTAGTTTGAGGGTCCAGAAATTGATTTGCCCTTTTTATGGCTCACTGTTGGGGGAGGAACTCACCTCATCTTCCGCCCACCGCCTCCAAAACGGCGAGGGCTGGACAACGGCGAATTCAATGGGGTATGACGGCGAAAGCCATGGTAAAGGTCCTTTGCTTGGGGATCCAATTTGTAATTTGGAACTATATTGGAGTTCTGGATCGCGAGTTGCTGCTTTTTTCCATGCACTATACCCCAAACACCAGCAACAGTGACTGAAAAAAGCAGCAACTTGGCTATCTAGGGTGTCGCTAACACCCTTCTTTTCAACGGAGGGTGCTAGGGTGGGAAGATCAGTTGAGTTGTCGCGAAACTGGTGACGCCCCCAGGCCACCCAATAGGCGTCCCGCGCATACGCCCTGCCTGGCACGGATGGCAAGGGGTTCAAACCTAGGGCCACCGCTTCAAACATCACAGACCCCCACCCCAACACATCATACAACAAAGGCAATGAGCCATCAAAAAAATGATAATTACCAAGGGAATGAGATGGGAACGAGCCATTATGGAAAAGTGTTTGAGTGTGCCTTGGGAAAAGCACGGGCCGCCCTTGTTTCGGCCTATGTTCAAGATGGTTTCAATCCCAAGATCTTGGCAAGACCTGGCTCAACGCCCATCAACCATAGGTGTCCTGGGGAAAATAGATGGGCTTCCCTGGTAAATGGAAGGAAACCCATCTAAATCCAGTGGAGCCCATCTATTTCCACCTGAAGTGAGGCTAGGATTTACAGTTGCGAGTCCTAGGCTTTCAAAGGAATGCAATTTGTGCCTTGTGGCTTTTGCAAGTTTGCAGTCTTCTCAGCCAAAATACAGAAAACGGACATGCACGGAAATCAGCAGGAAATGCACGGAGATCGGTGGAAAAAGCAGGGTACAGACCGGAACATTTGCTTGGAGATACGTGCACCCTTTGTCCTTGATGAATTGCATACTTGGCTTTTCGGCCCATCAGCATGACAAGCTCCAGTGCCAGAGGTGAACGTGAGTTCTCGTAGCAAAAAGTGCATGAGTGCTCATGTGGTTCCTTCTTGCCCGCAAGATAAATGTTTCTGCTCAAATGAATGGACCTCACGCAAAATGCACAGACCCTTGCGGGCATTCGCCAAATAGTTCCCTTGGACCATGTGTGCACACGCAAAGGGATCTGCTGTCTTTCCTATAAGGGGCTGGGGGCTGGGGGAGGAAGCCCAAGCCCTAGCTACGGCCTTGTTACGGGCTTATTTGGCTCCCTCCCCCGGCCCCGGACGAAGTGGCTGCCCCACTGGGGCGAAGTGTTGAAAAACCCGCCGGCAGGGCGTCTCCAGGAACTCCAAAGTCCTGGCAGACGGAATTCGCCGACGCACTGGGACTTGTTTTGCATCCCACGTTAGAGGCTCCAGACAAGGTTGAACCCCCCACCACTTGATCAGATGAAAAACAAAATCGGGGTTGGACTAAAATTATAAATAGATGACAATTATTCTAGGGTCCAACCGAGCCCAACTATAAATTCTGAACCTGCGCGGGTGGTCGCCATGAACTTCCCTCCCGAAAGGCGTCCTTTGGCTTTCAATGGAAGACCCCGCGAAATCCGAACCCCGGTGTGTGAAGTCTTGGTCGAAGCTGGCAGGGCCCGAAATATATCGACTGGGTAAGCAATGGAACACTTTCCATGATTGAGATCCCGATCAAGAGACCTTACTCCAGTATACTCATCGAAGGGCCAGGGAAAGGATTGGGCTGCAATTGCCTCAAACAAACATATCCAACTAAGCTCTTAGCATGGCTAAGACTCTGTTAGGTGACTTTCACAAAAAACAAAATGGTGTGTGTATGACTCAGGTAGCCAACAGCACTCGCCGCACACCCATGGCCATGTCGAATGGAGTTATGGGATCTTTACCGCGTGTACCAAAGAAACCGCTCATCCGAGAGGATCCCCCCGAGCTCTGAGCTTTCAGATTCCGAGCCCCACATATGCCAAGTACCTAGAGTCTCCATGACCTTTAAAAAATGGGTCAACGACCCCATTATTTTGGGAAATGACCCCATTTTTCAAGGATCATGGAGACTCCAAGTAGCTTTCATTTGCTGACAATATTTGGCCATGGGTCAAAATCCAAATCGTACCCGTGAACATCCCAATCCCCACTACACTAGACTAAAATTGGTGGTGCGCCTACCCCAAAATGGTACCATTTGTTTTGACCCGCAACCATTTGTTTGATCTTCTCTTGTTGGTTTTAAAGCTGGAGTTTTTCACTGGAAATGTGTTTTCTTGTTCAGCGGGCGAAAAAGCAAAAGGAAGTCACCGGTTGGATGCCCGAATTTGGGGGTCACGCGAAATGAATGTGATATTTGACCGGACCAAGGAATTCTCTTAGGCTACCCGCCAAACTTAGAGTCCCCCACGAAGTTTCAGCTCAAACATGCCTGCTTCGTTGTGCGATCTTCCGCGTTTGGGCCCCCATCCAAATGTGCAAGGCTCCTACTTGTATTGGGGGAACCATGATAACTCGGTTCCAAAGAGCTTTGACCATGGGACTTGGAACCCTTGCGTGCTACCTTCCCAAAAAGGGAAAACGGAACCATAAATGTAATTCCAGGGGTCACCCCCCTCCCCCAATTCCATTAAGGGGCTGGGGATGGTTGAACATGCAAGTGGAGACCCCCCAAAAACCTCCAAGCTCTCATCTCCCGTCACACCCGGAAGCCAAGGCCCAAGGCCCGTCCGCCCGTCCTCGGCAGATCCAAGATGCTCTTCGCGCCCGCGCACACCACGCACACGGGCGTGCGCCTATGGCTCCAAGGGGGTTGGAAGTTGCCGAGCTGCAGACCCACCTAGAGTCTCCTCCTGACCCTTGAAAAATGGTGGGTCAGACTGCCCTAAATCATGGTTGGTCATGGACCCATTTTTATTTCTTATTTCGGGTCAGAAGAAGACTCCAGGCACCCGTTTTTGTTGGGACGGCAGGTCTTGGGACCCAGGTCTTTCCTTTGGTTTCGGTAGGTCTTTCCTTTGGTTTCCTTCGGGTTCACCTTTTTTTTCCGGTCTCCGCAGGTTTTCCTTTGACTGAACTCCTGGCTGGGACCCGACAAAAAACCTGCAGAGTGCAAATCCAAACCACTGGGTTTCACTTCCCCCCCAGTTTTCGCGCTGGGTCAGGTTCTTTCACCAGAAGAACTCGTGATCCCGGAATCTTTGGGGCGCTTAAAGCACTTTGTAGTTGGGTATGTGGCAAAGTAGGCGCACTTTAGGCGGTTCTTAGGTTTCCGACTAAGCCACCCACTTTTGGGGTACTCTCAAAAGACATAGACTCATGTCAGCTCCCCAAAGGTCCAATCATACGTCGAGTCGAGTCGAGTATCCACGTAAGCGACTCTGGAACCCCAAACCTTTTGGGACTCATTTGGGTTCCAAAGTAAACCGGACTCTTTTTTTTCCAGGCCATTGCGACAAAAAAATGAGGCTTCAAAGATTCAAAGCAAAACAGCTGAGTTGCGGTCCCTGGACCCCCAACTTTGAAGCTCCGGCTAGGGCAGATTTTTCATATCCCAGCAACATGCCATTACTCCATTGCCTCTGGGTCAACCAAAAGCTCAGTTGTTCAGGCCCCTGATTTTTAGTGGGGCAGCCACCCAAAAAAAGGGGGAACAAGAACGGGTGCCACTGAGCAATGTCCAACCCTGGCGTCTTTGAGCTTGGAAAAAGCTCAAGCCCTCGCCCAAGAGATCAAGCCTCGCCGAATTCGGGGTTCTGATTGAGGTTTGAGTCTAGGACTCATATGTGTGGCGGTCATCGTGGCCATAGCAAACCTTACGCAAAGAATCCCTGGAATGAGTCGATTCCCCTGCAACTATTAATAAACTTCATGGTTTTCAAGCATGGTTTTTCACTTCCTGGCGCGAAATGGTGTTCGCAACCATCCAGAGTAGGGCTCGATCCTTGACATGAGGCTTCTTCGCCAAACTTATCGGGGTTGTCTAACATTCTCCATATACCCGAACAAGCTGCCACCATCAAACTGCTAAGCAAAGTCATCAAACATTGGCCACCTACTATTGTCGCACCACTTGGCAGGTGGTTCGCCCAAAATGTGTACTTGGACCCTCAATCTACCCTTGAAAATGGGTTATTGCCCCGAGATGTTTCTGGTTTTTATTGGGTTTGAGGGTCCAGGCAGAGTTTTATCCACAGCCGTGGATTTCGTCCGTCACATGGCTGCTGCAGGTTCCTTTTTCAGGCTCACCACAAGTCCAGCTCCGCCTTGATCCTCAGCGCGGAGTTCCATCAACGAAAAGCCACCCGTTTGTCGGTCGATGTTAAAGGGAAGCCCTTCCCAAAAAGCCGGGGTCATTCTTTGGTCTGTTTATCAGGGTTGCTCAAGTCAGGTTGCTTCCCTACCCAGCCCTACTCAGTACTACTCTTTCCCCCCCCCAAACACAAAAAAAACAAAAAAACACAACAACGGATCCACTGGTGTTAGGGGGTTCCCTTCCAAAAGAAAAGGGAAACGAAACAAAATGCAGTGGAGTCCCAACCGGAAAACAAACAATGGACAAAAAATGGCACCTGGTGTCTCCATCTGACCCTTCCCGCATGGTGGCCATGACTTGTCACGACCCCATCAAAAAAGGAGACTCCCGGAACTGGTTGCGGCTGGAAATCTGCCCGCTGTCGCCCCCAAAAGAGCAGTCCCCCCACGTCACCAGCTTGCCATCCTCCCTGCACGTCCCAAAGGCTCGCTGTGTCGCTTGGATTCGGCGCACCCCCGTCAGCTGCTCTTGCACATCCCTGCCTGGCTGGTGGTTTCAGGGTTCCCTATACTTGGGCTTGTCTCAAAATAGACTAGGTCCTCCAGTGGAGAGGACAGAATAAGGGTACCCTTTCTTCTGTAGTCTATTTTAGTAGGGAAACCCTCCCCCAAAAGAGAATAAAAGGGCACTACTGGGGGACCTAGTGGAGGACCCCAAGAAATGACGGGCTCCCTTGTTTTGTTTAAACCAACCTCAAGTGGGTACGCCCAAAAACAACACCCATATTTCACCTGGCATACAGTCTCTGCAAGCTGGGATATATTGGCGCAAAGGCAGAAATAAATATGGAGAACCCTTCTGTTTGTTTCCGGGGCCCCTTGTGGATTCCTTACACCAAATGTGTCGTTTAGCTGATAGTATAAAGCCTGTTGTGCTTCATTTGAGGAACATGTCCCGGGGTTGTGTCAAATTGTCCATTTCATGTCCCTTTAAACCAACCCCCTAACTAACGGGTCCCTCCCCCAAAAACAAAAAGTAATTCAATAATAACACACAGCACGTGTCTCATTTTGCCACCCAGTTGCTGTCCCCACCAAAAGGCGGATCGCCCCAAGTCACCACGTTGCCCAAGTCACCGCAAATGGCGGCGAAAGCGTGATGAGTTGCTTGGATCCTCAGGGGACATCCATGGAATAAATGGTTGGTTGATTGGGTGCTGGCTTTGAGAGGAAACCACAAATTTATCTTGACAGAGGGGCTTCCATTGTGTTGAGGCAAAGATGGTTGTAGCGGGTTTTGCCACCTCCAACAAGGGAAACCAAAACTTGACCGAAACTTGGCTGCGGATCTGCCGGACATTCCACAGCTCCACTTGGCTGCAATCACCTAACGCATCGATCCGCGGAAAGGCACCAGCTGCGGGTTGAGCTGGAACATGAGGGAAAATCAAGGCAAAATTAAATAAGGGTCTGGCCAAAACTAAGAAAACGTCACCCATCTCCGGTTGGCTGCTCTTGGAGCCTGGCAAAATTGAGAACAAGTCACCCATCCCATGGTTTCCCTTGGAGCAAGTGAAACATGGGTAATTTAGCACCTTGGGGAAAGGACTGCTTGTCACTTGACGGGAAATGAGCTATCTCCAAAAATAAAAGGCGCAAACATGGAATATGTCTGGAGGCTTCTTTTTGGGGGGATTTGGCCCTATTCCACGAATACATGGCGTTGAGTACTTTGGGGATCCCTTAAATCCTCAAATGAGAAAAATCCGCACCGAACAGTTCGAAAGGTAAGCCTTTCTGGCCGCGTCACCGCCGAATTCCGGATGACCCCACGCCACACAGGTGCCGTCGGCCTTGATGGCTGCAAAGGCACCATAGGTGGCTTGAATCTGCTCGACGCCCCTAAGCTGGTCTTGAACCTTGCGGTGGGGGACTTGTTGATTCCGCCCCCTAAAGAAGCAAGAAGGGGCTGAAAAGGGCCTGAAAAGCGGGGGTTGGTACCAGTACGATTCTTGGGGCTACCCGGCTACCCTCTTTCCAAGAATCATGGAAGCCTCCCGAAAAGGGAAGTAGTGACGCCCAAACCCCGTCAGCTTCCATGAGCGTTGGAGGGTACAACACGCTTTGTGACAGCAAAGGTCCCATTCCGTCTCTCACTTCGTGAGTGGATTGGAGAACCAAGTCTGAACTTTTTGTTTACCACCACAATGGTCCACACACAGAAAGTGACTCACTCGTCCGAAACGGAACAAAAGATCGTGACAGGCGACAGTCATAGGTGTGGGTGTTAGAAAACAGATGGCCCTGGTAGATGATTGAACCCAGGTAAATCAGGGACTTCTATGTTTTTAGCAATACAACCAAAAAGGAAACCTATGGCAACAAATCCAGCAAATCCAACCACCCGCGCCTGGTTGCTGTTCCCTCCATGGGCAGAATTGCCCCACGTCACCACAGTGCCGTCATCTTTCAGCGCGGCAAAGGCACCGGAAGTTGCTTGGATCTGGTGGACGCCGGTCAGCTGCTCCTCACAGGGCTCCCCATTTTCGCGGTCACAGACAAAGCAGTTGCTTTCTGCTCCCCGCTAAAAGTGACGAACTTTTACTGGTTTAATGGAAGACCCATTAGTTGGCAAAAACTTAAAGTCGTAACATCCAAGCAACATGCACCAAGGTTAAACCTTGCTTGGTTCGTAAGTTGTTGGTAACCGTTGGTTATAGCTCCCACTTATCAGCCTCACTAAGTGCGCGAAGCTCTTTCACTCGTGGGTTATAACCCAGGTGGCATTGGCCACTTTCCAACCTGGCGAATCGAACATCCAAGTGGGGGCTGACCTCAACCACCGGGTTTAAGTCTACCGTACCGAGTCTCCATGACCCGTAGAAAAAGGGGTCATGACCCTTACTTAATTTTGGGTAATGACCCCATTTTTTAAGGGTCTTGAAGACTCCAGGTACCTCGGAGTACATCCACCGGAACCCCTGGCGCCTGCACTTGGCTGCTGTCCCCGCCCCATTCAAAATGACCCCAGGTCACCACTTTGCCGCGAGTATTGGCAGCGAAAGCTCCGCCACCAGCTTGAATGCTTTGGACCTCTGTCAGCTGTTCTTGAGCTTGGCTGCTGTCACCGCCCCAGTCAGGATGACCCCAGGTCACCACAGTGCCATCTTGCCTGATGGCCGCAAAAGCTCGCCAAGATGCTTGGATCTGCTGGACCTGCGTCAGCTGCTCAGACACATGGCTGCTGTCACCACCACGATCTTGATCGCCCCAGGTCACGACGGTGCCATCGCTTCTGATGGCGGCAAATGCAAGATCATTTGCCTGGATCTGCTGGACCCCCACCAGCTGCTCTTGCACACGGCTGCTGTCACCACCCCATTCTGCACGACCCCAAGTCACCACCGAGCCATCATCCCTGATAGCTGCGAAAGCACATCTGCTGGCTTGAATCTGCCGCACCCGGACAAGCTGCTCTTGAACCTTGCTACGGATCGATCAGAAACGCATCAAGGCACAACTCGTTGCTGGTTAATTAAAAAGGGAAACTGAAGGAAAACCAAAAGGGCAAAGAGGCAAAGGGGCAAAACATTACTTTAGTCTGCACTGAAACTTGGCTGCTGTCCCCACCCCAATCTGGATGACCCCAGGTCACCACAGTGCCATCTTCCTTGATGGCCGCAAAAGCGCGCCAAGATGCTTGGATCTGCTGGACCTGTGACAGCTGCTCTGACACTTGGCTGCTGTCACCACCGAAGGTTGGCTCACCCCACGCCAGCGCATTGCCCATGGGCACCTCTGCTCAAACACAAACGATCATCCGGTGGCCTTTATCGTCCCCAACGGCCACCCTGTTGGCTTTCTGTAGGGGTGCATTAAGAATTTATGGTTGCTTTCATTTGCTTTCAGTCACCTGGAAAAATGTGAATGAACATGTCCAATAGTGATAGATTCTCTTTGGAACAAAAGGAAGTTGTGGGAGAAAAGGGGCGAAACCTTGCCGCGTGCAAAAGAAGCAACGCTCCCCGTTCAAGGGCGAACTGCTTTGGCCCTGATTTGAAAGCAAAACAAAGAAAGAAGCAAGGAGGCCCAACAACTGCATGTTCAACAAGGTCCAAAATCACAACCTGGAGTCTCCATGACCCTTTAAAAAATGGAGTCATGACCCAAAAACAAACGAGTCATGGGCCCATTTTTAAAGGGTCAGAAGCAGACTCCAGGAAGTTGCAAAAAGCAAATCCGCCAAGTAGGGGTCCCTAAAGCAAATGACCCTTCAAAAATGGGTCAATGACCCCATTATTTTGGGGAACGACCCCATTGTTCAAGGGTCATGGAGACTCCAGGTAGGGTCTTTGAAGCAAAGGCCCGCACTCGGTCGAGGCGCAAACATGGCGAAGGCCCTCTTGGCAGCGGCCAGCTCGGCGAGCAGCGCGACCGCTGCAATCGCATCGCCATCTCGCACCCCCGCCTGCGGCAGGATGTGTCCTGAATCCTCAAATTACCCTTAAAAAAGGATTAGCATGGTTAGTGTGTGTGAACCATCATAGCTGGGAATATTGTTTGGTGGTTGTATGTCTTCCAGGTTGCAAGGTATAACGGGCGTTGTTCAATGTCCTTTGCCCCAAAAACCGATCGCAACAGTGACTAACAAAAGCAGCAACCTGGCTAAGTAGGTAGTTCATAATGTTGCGGCAGTAGCCTATCTTTAAGGGAACTTTGAGGGTATAGGAGGACACCAAAACTGCGGTTTTCCTTTTGCTTGCTGGTGCTCAGCAAGGGAATGTCCCAGGGTGTTGGGAATGAACTGGAAGGGGATTCCCTTGAGGGAACCATGGGATGGTTTAAAGGGTCATTGTGTTATTGCCTGCTTAGAACCAGCAAAGTTTGGCTTCCCTTTGAAAGGAACACCCTGGAAAAAGGGAACACATCCAGGTACTTCAAGGGGCAATCAATTTGGATGAGGTAAGTAGCCATGAAACTTCCCAACCTCCCCACATTCAGCGCACCTTGACTTCACCACGTTTCAGCATCTCCCCCCCCCCCAAACAGCACATTCCTTTCGGTGGCTAGGTCAACTCCCTGAAAAATTACCCACCGGGTTTTGGCCTTCCTGGCCTTCCAAATGTTTATTCGCTTTGGACTGAGTCGAAAGGAAGCAACTTGTGTGGATGTCTGTGACCAACCTCTAAGCCCCCCACTTTGCCCTAAACAGATGCTGTGAAATCCCCTTTCTTTATGAGTACCGATTGGACCTAGAAGACCTACCAACTTAAGTAACAACGTTAGATTGCACAAATTCCACACTTTTAGGTTGCAACCACCCATGTTCAAGTTGGACTTTTTGAGGACCAGGTAATTCAAAAACGGGCTCAGGTTGAAACTAGGAAGCTTCTCTTGCTGCTGCTCAGTAGAAAATGACCGAGTGTTGGCAGTGAACGCAGTGGTCCCCTTAAAGGACACCATAGGGGATGGGTTATCTCGGGGTCATTCCAATTCTCATTCCCTGATTCTCATTCTCTGCCTATCAAACAGCAAGAAAACACCTTCTGTGTGGCACGATGCCGCCGTACATTTCTTGAAGGGGCCATGGGGTTGCTACCGAGTCCAAAAGCAACTCATTCCCGGTCTATGAGACCACCCAGAGTGTTGGGAAGGAACCGGAAGGAGGGGATGGTTTGTCTCGGGGTCATTCCAATTTTCATTCCCCCATTGAACCATTATCATTCTCTGTCTACCTAGACCAGCACCCTCCCAAAATGGGGGGACCCCTTTCTTTTGGGCAATGACCCCACTTTTTTTAAGGGTCAAAGGAGACTCCAGGTCTGCCCTTCAAATATGGGGGTCATTGCCAAAAAGAAAGGCGTCATTCCCGGCAGACCCATCTGGGTCCTCCTAGTAGAGAGGTTAGAATGAGGGCACCCCTTTTTCTGCAGTCTATTTTAGTAGGGGAACCCTCCCCCCCAAAAAAGTTGGTAAAAGGGCACCTGGTTGGGGGACCTAGCCATGTTTCAAGGCTTTTCCCCCGGTCTGCCAGTCTCTTGTCCCCGCCTCGCCCAGCGTGGCCTCCGCCTCCAGGGCTGTGCCGTGCAGCAGAAGCCGCAGCACGCCTCTGCCGAAGCTCCGCTGGGCGGAGGCTTTGAGCGCCGAGACGCGGGTCTCGGCGCGGAGACCTGACACGGAGCCTTAGCTTGTCATGCGGATGGGAAGAAACCACCTGGACCCAATAAACAAGATATTTCACCCCAGAATGTTGTGGCAATAGCATTTGTTGAAGGGAACACTTTGAGGGTTCAAGCATAAAGTGAATGGTACTTGCAGGGAAATCGAATCGTTCGGGTTTCTGGGGTGGTGCTCCATCCACAGCAGGGACCCCAAGGCGTTTGTCTCAGACGACTCGGTGGGTGTCATACCCAGTGATTCCATTTACGTGGCTTCGTAGCCCAGGGAACCAGCCGATACAAAAGCCACAAGGACAAATGGCTGACTGAGTATTGCAAGTAGGGCACAAGGGAAACAAAAAAAACTCAAATGCAACCGTGGCTTGTGGTTGGCTTACTTGCAATCTCGCAGGGGCATCCACCGTAGAGTCTTCAACGAAAGGGGTGGGCAAGTATGTCTGTTGGTGTCCCTTGAAACCCGGCTGAAAAGAGTAATTAGGAGTCTTCTTCTGACATCAAACGATGCGATTAGCCAAAAGGGGGGGGGGGCAAGCCTAGGGTAAGGCAAAAGATAAACAACCTAGATAGCCAAGTTGCTGTTTTTTGTTCAGTCATTGTTGCTGGTTTTTGGGGCAAAGTGCATGAAAAAAAAAGCAACTGGCTATCCAGGAAGACAGCTAAGTCAAAGTCTGGCAATGTACCAAGCAAACTGCCACATTTTGGACTTGCGAGGCGAGGAGCACGCGCTGCCGCTGGGCAAGTGAACGTGCACTTGCATTCAGGGGAGCGCCATGATCTGAGCAATCCAAAGGCCACTATCCGGCCCCGCCCCCCCAGAAAGGTTCAGGAGATTTGCAAAAAGACGGCCCCCGCCAAAAACAAATATGTGAGTGATCCTTGTGGTTTCCCCTGACACCGAGGTGCAAAGCCGCTAAAACAAACAAACAAACAAACAAACAAACAAACAAACAAACAAACAAACAAACAAAACAAACAAACAAAACAAACAAACAAACAAACAAACAAACAAACACACAAAAAACACACACACACCCTTCAGGCGCTGGTTGAAGGGGTGCTTAGGAGGCATTTCAGAACCGTTTTGGGTGTAGGCTGGGCCGAATGTCTCCTCTGACTTGAGTGAGATGGCTGCGCATGAGAAAGTGTCAGTCACTACATAATCGACGAATCATCGTCGCATACCCCGCTGGTCAGGTGAGGTTGCCATGAAAAAAAAACATGCAACACCGAGATAAAACAATGTATAATTATAGACATCTTAAGCATGTGTGTAATCATAACATGATTGCAGGCTTTACCCAGAATCTCGACTCAACACCGAACCTCCTGACTCCAAAAGGGCTGAGATCACTTGCAGGGAGAAATGACTTATCCGAAACTGGGTTACCCCCCAATCCAATAACATGGACCTTATGAAAGGGTCCATGTTTAAAGGCAATGGTCGGCTAGACTTGATTGACCCGTCAATTTGGATTGCCTTCGGGAAGAAGCTTGACTTGTTCGTTTGGGGGGGGGTCCTGTGAGGACCGATTGCCCGGGACCGATTGCTCGAGTGTTCGCCAAGAGAAGGAAGCGGTTCACCCTGGCGGGGGAGTTCATCCAGGCTAACCACGACACCCTCGTTTGGCCCACAAAAACGGGGTACACAAAACCTAACATGTTCTAACTCCGTTCCACGTTTAGTCGTACCCTAAAGTACTAATAAGACTAATAAATTGCTGATAGTGATGACTATCCGAACCGGGGGGCTTGCAACTTGCTCAAGGGTGGTTTGCATTCTGTGGCTTGCGCCGCCAAGCAACTATGGTGCATGTGTGTTGATTGAATCATCATTCACCGTTATTATCGACAAGGGGCACATGTCCCCTGGCCCATGACATGCCCTTCACCAAAAAGTGGGGGGTGGGGGTGAAAGAAACATCGCCAACCTGGGCTGTCCGTTTTCAGATCCCCTGCTACAGGTTTATACCTTTTAGTGGGTCAAATGGACCTCCCCACCAAACACCGAAAGGCTAAAAAGCTGAGGCATGGGAGCCACCAAGTTCAACCACTCCCAAAAACTATGAACACAACGTGCGGCATGCCAGCGCAGCCAGCCAAGGCCTCTAAGCTAAGCCCATGGGCGAGTCATTTTTGAGGGTACCTAGTGTCCCCTTCTGACCCTTAAAAAATGGTTGGTCATTCCCCAAAAACACCCCGAGTCATGGGCCCACTTTTTAAGGGTCAGAAGGAGACTCCAGGCACCGGATTTTCATGTGGGATTAAGGTCAAACCCACCAGCAGCACCACCATTTTTGGGGGAATTCCGCGTCGCAAAAAAAAAACCGACGCGCCTCATCTCCCCACGTCATCGAGGCTAAGGTCCACACCCGAGCTCCGTGAGGTCTGCGGACACCTTGGAACGCCCGCCAACCACGGTGCTCGGGGCCTGAGGTCCTCGCCTGGGAATAATTAATCGAGGTCCTCCAGTGAATGAGGGTACCCGATTTTTTGTCCAGTCGTCGATTTTAGTGCGGGAACCCGCCCCCCAAAAAATCGGTAAAAGGGCACCGCTGGACCAAGTTACACCTGGACCCCCAAACTGGGAGTCTCCTTCTAACCCTTAAAAACTGGGTTGGTCAGTAGCAAAAAAAAGGGCAAAAATGGCCCCATGATTGAAGGGTCGCGGAGAGTCCAGGTACAAATTAAAAGAGAGGCAATTCATCCCGGAACTTTGGAGCACTGATGTGGGTGTGTCCCTCACCCAAATTTGCCCTGGAGAAGCGGTTTTGGGGGTGCACTGCTCGTTTTGACCTGGGTGCGTTTCCTGGGGGTCCAACAAAATGCAATGCCTCAAAGAGGCTGGGTGCTTAAGTGGTTGGTGACCCTTGAGTGTCGCTTGGGTATCTCACTTTGGCTCATATTCGCTCAAAAACAAAAAAACGAGGAGGACATTAGGAAAGGGATTCACCATCCCAATGTCCCCTCCTGTTTTGTTCCACTTCAAAGGGGGCGTCTTGGTATCACAGAAGCCAGTTCTCCGATTCGAAGGGCTTCCCGTCTGATCAAGTGGCACCACCGACTTCTTTCCCGAGCATCAGCAAGTAGCTTGGGACCGATCCGACTGGTTTTGAGTTTGGGACCGATCCACTTATAGCGGGCCTTTTCAGGGCCCCTTTGAGGCGGGAAGGGGAAGCAAACCCCATACTTTGTCCGATTTTTTCCCCCAACAAAGAGGGAAGCCTCCGGTTGGTTCTAAATGCCCTACCTGGATGTTCAAACTACGTCCTAGCCAAGAAAACATCCTACCTGCTTCCTGAGTTTCAACAACTGCCCCCCCCCCCCAAAAAAAACAAAAAACGATGAATTGGCTATACTGTTGGGTCCAAAGAGATCGGATTTGAAGTCCAAAAAATAGCCCACAGAGAAAAGGAATTCGCCGATTCCCACAACTTTTGGGCTGCAAACACAATTTCCTGGATAGCCAAGTTGCTGTTTTTTTCAGTCACTGCTATTGGTTCTTGGGGTAAAGTGGATGGAAAAAAGCAGCAACTGGCGATCCAGGTTGTTTCAGTGGGTTTTGTTTTGGGGGGGTGGCACGTTGCACTTTGGCAGTTCCTTCCCAGTTCCTCTTTGGAGCCTTTCGATCAACCGGCCTGCCCGGCGCACAGCTGTCTTCGGGGTGCGAAATGCCAGGCGCCACGCTTGATCGTAGTTCAAGCACAAGGACGGGGGAACGTTATGAGCTGCCCGCATCTCCCTGAACAGCTCCCTGGACTCCAGCATCTTGTGATCGCCCGTTGCCAGCAGTGTTCAGCGCCTGCTTGGAGAACCCCCTGGCTCTTTGGAACTTTTTTGCCGCCTTCCGGATGTCCCGCGTGGAGATTGGCGCAGCTGTCACCCCATGGATTTTACCATCAAAGTCACCCCTCAAGCGGTAGGTTAAAGAGAATCAACCCCATTTTCTGACTATGATCCCCCCCTTTGCATGGGATAAAACCACCCAAAAGATAACGTTTCCCACGTGGGCAAAGTTCCCCCATGGTCGTTTGGGGGCCGAACGGAGCACTGATCAACCCCCATCCTGGGTTGAATTTGAAGACTTCTCAACTGACTGGGCCAGAAACTGTCTACAGACTGACCCCAGTTCGATCCGGGAAGCTCCGACCTAAGAAATTCCTCCGGCCGAGCATCGTCCCAGGTCTCCTGTGCCCCCCGGTGCACGCCGCCGATGCCCCCCGTCACGAAGATGGGGATCTTGGCCTAGGCGTCCAGCGATTGCAGTGCGAGAAATCCTGAGAGGCGGGGGCCGGTTCCAAAGCGTCATTTAAAGACTACCTGGCGTCTCCGAGACCCATTATTTTTGGGTAATGACCCCGTTTTTGAAGGGTCCTGGAGACTCTAGGAAATAATAACATAATTAGTTAGATTCCTCTTGGATTCCCAAATGGGCTCGCTCCAAACGGTTGATGGCTTAAACATTGGTTTGCCCCGACCCCGTGGCTGTTACGGCTCCCTTGGGGTCCAGATCCGCTTGGGGCCATGAATCAGCCATGGTTACTTTGTGGAAGACCATATAGCTGCGGGTCAAAAACTAGGTACCCAAAATAGAACCCTGGTAAATGGTGGGATACTCCTTTGAGACGAGTGTGATTTTGGATGATTCCATCCATTGTGACACAGGCAAGGAACAGGTGGGTGCGTCCTTTTTTTGACCTTGCTCTAGAGCCGATGAGAAACTCCTTTGAAGTGTGTTGAGGGTTGGTGTGCGATGGGTTGAGGGATCTCCGATAGGGCCTGGTAGTGGGTTTTAGGCTGGCTGTGCAAGTTTTCGGGCTTGGTCAATGTACTTAGCTGATTTCGGATGCAGGATTGGTTTATGGCAGGATTCGCCTGACCCCTCAAATTCCAACAAACAAATGGGTCTTTGCAACGCAGATTTACGGTTGGTGGCATTTCCCCTGTTTTAAGGGTACCCTCGCACCAAGATCATTTTCAATTTAAGGGACCTCCTGTCAGGCTCCATGTTAATTAGTGGGAGGGTAGTTTGAGGGTCCAGGCGGTTGTTTTGGGCTTCCCTGGAGTCTCCTTCCGACCCTTTAAAAATGGGCCCCTGACCCTTTGCTTTTGGGTAATGGCCCCATTGTTTTTAGGGTCATGGGAGACTCTAGGCAAGGTTGTGTAGAGAGGATAGAATAAGGGTACCCTCTTTGTCTGTAGTCGATTTTAGCAGGGGAACCCTCCCAACCAAAGACGTGGGTGAGAAAAAGGGAACCTAGCTGAGGGACCTAGTAGGTACCCTCCCTCCCATTAACATGGCACCTGACCAGGGGTCAGTTCAAATGGAAATTGATCTTCCAGGTGCTTCCCCACAGATGTGCTTGGCGTCTGCCAGGAGCGATTGAGACTCAGACCCACCCGACCCACGGCCTGCGCGGCGAAGATCATGGTGGCCGAAACTGTGGTGGCGCCGTCCTAGCCACTCGCTGAGGCACCCGTGTGGCGCCAGTTTTTTGGGGGAGCCGTGTTTCTTCAGACCAGTTTAAGATCAGTTGGCCATGGCTCAAAAGCCCAATCGTACCTACAGTGAACATCCCAATCCCCACTAAAATAGACCAGTTTGTTCAGTTGGCCATGGGTCAAAAGCCAAATCGGTTAGCCCCAAGTGAACATCCGACTCAATCCAACCACTAAAATAGGTTCTAAGATGGGTGGTGAATTCACCTACCCCAAAATGGTACCATTGGTTCCATGACCCTGTGTTTTGGGTCATGACCCCATTTTTTCAGGGTCATGGAGACTCTAGGTACAGGGACATGGAATCACTGGGAGGGCAAGTAA